TCATGCACCTACCAAAACAACTAGCAATCTGTAAATGTGCGGCGCACACTGCAGGGACAGATAAGGTGTCCCTAGGGAATGCTTTCGAAGACAAAATAATAATAAAAAAAAGCAGCTGAGGGAGAGATAAATGTATTACATGTGGAAAAAAAAATAAATAAAATAAATAAATTTATGAAAGAAACTTTAAGAGACATGCAACAATTAAGTCCTCAAAATGAAAAGGATTTATGGATAAAAAAATGGAGCAAAATTGGAAAATTATATAAAACTGAACCTATTTTACCAAGAAAAAGATGTGTATAAATGGGCTGCAATATTGAGCCATGGCGTTTTCGCATGTCTCAACAGGGGGGATGGTAGGATACATCGACATTACACTACTTATGGATTTATTTCTTATTTTAAAAAAATTCTGTAGGACCTGTTTGATATGTGCAAAACATAACTCTCAGGGCAATCTAAGATCACATAGAGGAAAGTTTCCTACTCTGCAATATCCATTTCAAGTAATGCACATGGACTTCATAGAATTGAATAAAAGTGAAGTATTGTTTAGAAATAATTGATGCTTTTCTAAATGGTTTGAACATTTCACTAAAAACCCAGATGCAGCGGAAAAGCCAACTTGGATACATTTAACACACTGCAAAAAGGAATTTAATTTCAAAAGTAATTGGGAAGCAAGCTCAAGACGCTCACCGACCTACAGGGCAAAGTCCAGGTTACAAAGGGGGTTAAACCGAATAGTTTTTCCGTCTCAAAACTGGTGAAGATTGTCCACAACCCTGTAGTGTCTTTAGGAGCAGAACGGACTTGCACATTAATGAAAATAACAAGTGAATATATCTTTTTGTTTTTATTTTGTGTTTTTCATCTGGGAACAATTCATGTCATAAATGAAAATGTATTTCTTGTAGCACTGTTTACAGAATGAGGATGGGTATTCAGGTGTGTTTTCCACCTAGTTCTGTTATCATTGTTTTAGTCTCCTGGGCAAGTATGACGTCAGCAAAATACAGAGATTAAACTTGATATATGACAAATGATGTTTTTAACATCTGACTGTTCTCTCTGTGAACAATGAATTTAACCCTGTCTTTCGTGCAGATGTCTGGTGGTGGTGCAGTGGTGACAAAACTTTTAATAGATTACCTAGGAAGGTAACAGGGATGTCTGCATTAATTTCTTTATTATTGCCTGTTTCTGTTTATCCTATGACTGCTGATCATCTAATTCATGCTTTAACTGATGTTGTGCCTCAGCAGTGGCGTCAGTTGCAGAAGCGAGACCTGACCTGGAGGAACAATGATCCTACATACATCGATGCCATTGGTGTTCCCCGTGGTGTACCAGATGAGTATAAATTGGCCGACCAAATTGCAGCAGGATTTGAGTCCACAATTTGTTGGTGGTGTACATTAAACAAAAACGTTGACAGAATCAACTACATCCATTACAATGTACAAAAACTGGGCAACTGGACACAGGCAGGCTTCGAGGCGGTGCATGAGCAGCTGACCGCTACATCACTGATGGCTTTCCAGAACCGTATTGCACTTGACATGGTGCTGGCTGAACGAGGGGGAGTGTGTGCAATCTTTGGTGAAAGATGCTGCACTTTTCTACCCAACAACACAGCGGCTGATGGCAGCCTGACGAAGGCCATTGAGGGGCTCCGTACCCTTAATGGTAAGATGAAGGAGTTCTCTGGAGTGAATACTTCCAGGTGGGACGACTGGATGAATGTTTTTGGAAAGAACTGAACCCTTGTGTCCTCTGCTTTAGTGCTGATGGCTGTCTTTGCTGCCATTCTAACCTTGTGTGGATACTGTTGTATTCCTTGCCTGCGTTCTTTGTTTAATAGTCTCATCACTACAGCAATTTAGCCCATGGGAACCAGATGATGCCGATGTATCCTTTACTAGTAAAAGATCCTGAGTCTGACAGAAAAGCTCTGATGAGGACTCTTTTGATGTGTTTCCTGATTCTAAGTTTTGGACTGAGTATAAACCTTGAGTGTAAACATGTTTGCTTTCTTAAAAAATATTAACTCCTAGTTGAAAATTGTTTGAAGTGGCTGTTTAGGAGAGATATGAGAATTAGAACAAATATTTGATAAACAGGGGGAAATGTTGGAGAAATTGTGATATTATTAATCAATTATTTGTTATTCTCATTGATCTTTATAATGTATCTTTAATTGATGCTTTCCTTAAAGTTAATCTCATTATAGAATTAAGAATGTTTCTTGTATTGTTGATTTGCTCTGATTCCTTTCTCAGAAGGCCTCACTGACAGAGAGCAGAAACAAAATCTTCCTGCAGGTTTACCTCTTGGTGAAGAGCTCTGCTTCGGTTGAGTTGCTGGCCTCCAATAAAACCATCATTGATCACTACATATTTTATTAATCTTTGTGCCTGGAAGGAGATTATCTAGTACAGAATGATTGTGTGTTAGTTAGTGAATAACATTTGACGCTGTAGCTGTTTGCCCCCTCCCTTTAGAGCTACAGCGTCCTTGTGATTAGGGATCCTAGAAACAATAAAATAGAGGAGCAGACAAAATGTGCTTCAGAGCGGTAGGAGATTGTAACTGAAGCACATCTCTGTCCGTTCTCCTCGCGAGTGAAAAAGAATCTAACTCTTTTGTCTTTTCTGTCTTTGTTAATGTATGTTTAACAGGTGTTAACCCTAACACTAATAAATCTACAATCTTTTGCACTGATGTGAAATCCCCACTAAGTGATCAGCCAGTGGATCTAAAACCATGATGCTGATCACATTTAGATCTGGCACACAGCACAAGGATCTTATCATCAACTACTGACATATTGATATGTGACCATTAAATTAAAATACAGGGTTTTGTCTCATCCAGAAGGCTGTTCCATAACATAAAGGGCAAAATCTTTCATATTGTAAATTTAGTAAAAACATAATTAAATTTTTACATTTTGTTTTATCTGCTGTATTAAAACAGAATAAACAGAATCTTGTTTTCTCACATTAGTGAAATATAACAGAACCTCTGAGGTTTCAGACAAAGAAAAAAACAAACCGTAAAATATGTCAAGCATGTAATTCCTCATGAACAGAGAGATCCATACAGCAGTAAGATGTGGTTGCTCTGGTGACCTCTGACCTCTGGTGGGTCAGAGGTCAGATGGTCTTTCTGCAGCCGGGTTGTTTTCTGCAACAGACACAGATGATTAGTTCAGAAACGTCTGGTTTCTGAACCAGACATTGTAAATGAGTAATAATAATAATAATCATAATAATAAAGTGCATTTGCTTTATTTTGGCAGACAGTATGCACTGGGTGCTGACTCCATAATGTCAACCCTCCACTGAAAAGATTATAACAGAAATATTAAGCAGTTATCAGAAAAATCAAACTCACAACTTGGAAATATGGCAGGTTAATAAATGCCTTGATCTGAACATGTTGGAACAAACTGTGTTAATGTAACTGGATTATTAGAATTAAACCAGAATTAAAGATGAATCCTTATTATATCCATAGATCCGTTTATTAACATTCAGAGATTTGGAGGCCACAGATGTTGAGCTTCAAACTGATTCTTCCTCCCCAGAATCGTTGGACTCATTGTTGCTTCCTGAACTTAGAGGATCAATAAATGATCAATATGTCTGCAGTCGATCAGTGGAACCAGCTGGCTCTTCTTCATCAGTTCTTCATCATTCTCCCTCTGCAGCTGCACAAAGACTTCTCAAATCTTCTCTTAGATCCTTTCCTCTCAATCACAGAATATGGAGGCTTTCGCAATCTGGTGCAACAGCTGCACGTCTATGTTTGGGCAGCTATCCCAGAGACATTCAAATCAGCTGCGCTGATTGGTGAAATGTGCACTAAGTTACCTAGCAAACACCCCTCATTGGCTAATTAGCTCCACTTGCTGTCACCCAGAATTCGAGTCTGTCAGGGAAATTTACTGATGAATGAGTCAGACGGTGGAAATGTTGGCAGTAATTTAGATGACATTGAGGCACATTGTAGAGAAAACTGCCTTTCACTTTCATTCTTTGTAGATCATTGTTGGGTGTTTCTCCTCCCTCCACACCCGGGAGAGCAGCCGCCACCGTCTGCCATAAGGAAACGTCTTGATCTCTTGTTGCAGAGCATCAGGTGGAGGCGCAGGACACGAAGGTCCAGCTTCCCTTCAGGACAACGCCTGAAATAACCCTGAGCTGCTGCTGGGCGACTGCAGAGTGGAGTGGCTGCAGGTTGAGCCCAAACACAGAATCATCCATGTGTGGGAGAATGGATCTGACCAACCTGGACCACAAACACTGAGGGGAAAGACCAGCATGGAAGAAAAGCTGATTACTGCTGGAGACCTCAGTCTGACCCTGGAAGGCTTCACAGAGGACAATTCAGGGAAATATAAATGTATAATTTATGGAAAGCATGGAAGAATCCTGCAAGAGAAAACTATTCAAGTTCAAATGAAAGGTGAGTTAATTGACCTATTTATTAATTTGTCCCAGTTTGTTTATCTGTCCTGTCTCCACTGCAGGGACAGTTCAGGTCCAGAACCAACCTGAGGACATCAGAACTGGAGGCCGCTCCGTTGACCCGACTCCTCTCATGGCTGACCATCATCTGTGACCGGATTAGATTATCTGAACAGAAGGATTGCCCACAACTAAAGAAATATAACAGTCATAGTTTCAAAATCCCATTTCATTGAAGAAACTCTTCTCTTTCAGTTGGACTTAGACTAGAAGTTCCTGCTTTAGTCATTTTGAAGAAATTACTAATCAGAAGTAATGCAATGTAGAAACAAGACTGGGTGTTCATTTATGTATTTTACCTGACAAATAATGCAAATATTAAAGATGATACAAGGAAACTTTGTGTTTCTGCTGAAATGTCCAATTGTTGTCCCACAATATCAATGCAACAAAAACCTGAAAGAGTGAAATAATCATAAAACCTCCATGGAGCAAAAGTCAAGAAGAAATAACAGAAAAAGGTTAAAATGGAAAAATGAAAGACTTTATTTCAGAGATTTTAAAGCTTTACACAAATGTACAGGTTCTGTCAACAGTCATGTAAAATATGGACTTTATTAAGATGCTGTTTTTATAATAAGCCACTTAGTTTTACATCCATGTGAACAAACAAATGATTAAAAAATAAAACAGAACAATGAATAGTTTTACACAAATAAAATAAAGATAAGAAAATAAAAAGAGTAAAATTAAAAATAATTCCCAGAGAATCAGTTCCCATGCAGGATTAGCTCAAGCTAACCAGCTGACCTGTCTGGTCCAAACCGGTTCAGATTATTTTATTGGACTTTATTTGGCAGAGACACTTCGACTAACCCAACAAAACAGGAGACACATGTTTGCATCTGAGTGCAATCGGATTAAAACGGTTCCAGAGGTCAAGAAACTTTCCTCTTCAACCCAAACCGTTCTAGAACCTTCCAGTACCTTCCAGAACCTTCCAGAACCTTCCAGAACCTTCCAGTACCTTCCAGAACCTTCCAGCACCTTCCAGACAGATTTACAAACTGTTGCCATGATTTCCACCGCAGCGCGTTGCAGCTCACTGCTGCCCCCTCTGGCCTGATTTAACAATACTTCCTTATTTCCTGACATGAAAATGAGATTCTATCACAGGTCGGTTTAGAGGCCCGTTTGGTCAGAACCTCATGGTTCTGCTCATCTGGACCGGACCAGTCGGCCTAAACAACATTACATTAATTTTCACATGAATTTATTTGATATAAATGATTATTATGACTTGGGTCAAAGGTCGAGGTGATTCTGTCTGAATGAGAACATCATGGAGGAAAGAGTTCTGGAGGTTCTGACCCGGTAAATCTCTAAACGGGCCAAGCTCAGGCCTGTTAGTTACATTAATTAAATAAAGATACAATTTGTATCAGATGATCTGACCCGACCCGGTCCGATCTGACCCGACCCGGTCTGGATCCAGAGCGCTGGGATTATTCCCAGGTGGATACCACGATACCAAAACACAACTGATGCTGGTCTGAGGGTCGGTCCGACCCGACTGGACTCACCTCAGGGACCGGTTCTGACTCTGGAGGGCCAGGATCTCTGCCACCAGAACCTGCGGGTCCAGAACCTGGGGGAACCGGTCCATGGCTGTGTCCACCAGCTGGGCGCTGAAGATGGCCAGGAGCTTCTTTCGGACCACCTCTCTCTGCTCCGGTTCTGGGCCCGGTTCTGGACCCGGTTCTGGACCCGGACCAGTCTCCCATGAGTCCTGGTCCCCTGCCGGGCCGTGAGCCTCAGGGATCCGTCCGAACGGGTCGGACCAGTACCGTTGCTGGTGGGTTTGGACTCTGTGGTGCTGGAAGTCCGGAGGCTCGCTGCGAGCCAGCCTGCTGAGCGGAACCGGGCCACAGCTGGTGTACCAGGTCGGGTTGTAGCGGGCCGGGTCGGCCGGAACCATCTGGAACGTGCCGTGAGAGCAGCAGCTGCAGAACCGAACCGACCCGGATCCGTACGGCGCGGCGTACTTCGGGTCGGGGAGACTCCACGGGTTCTGACTGTCTATGGATCCCAGGCCGGAGTCCAGCTGGTCCTGGGAGCCCTGGTTCCGGACGGGTCCGCGACCCGGATGCTGGCCCGCTCTCTCCTTTGTGGACTGGGACTTCCTGCCGGAGCGGTGTCCGGACCGAACCGGTTCCGGTTTCCTTCCAGAACCGCTGCCGTGGGCCAGAGTCAGCTTCCGGGCCAGGTCGTCCACCAGAGACGGGTTCGGGTCCGGAACCGGGCCAGGGTTCTGTTTGGACCGCTCTGGGTGGAGGAACTTACATTTGGTCCCGTACGTACATTTCTTCCCTGGAAGCAGAAACCAGAAGGTTCTGTCAGGACCGACCCGTCCAGAACCGGGCCTCACAGAACCGCATCAGAACTCAATTTAAATTTATAGTTTATATCCACAAACTAAAACATTTCCTCTGACAGAACCCGTCCAGGCCCGGTCAGCGAGATCCGACTGGACCAGCAGAACCCGGCCAAAACCGGACCCGTTTACCTGGAAGCAGAGGCAGAGAGGGACCGGTTCTGATCTGATCGGTTCTGGGCGTTTGGGTCGGTCCCATCTGAACCCGGTAGAACCAGATCAGATTCTGGTCTCCTATTGGACCCTCAGCTGAATGTTTCTGCTTCCTGTTTGTGGAGCCTGAGACTGGAGGACTTCCTGCCGCAGCAGGAAGTGACGTCTCACCGTAGGGACACGCCGGCTTCTTCTGCGCCTTTGGGAACTTCCGGAGGAAGTTCTCCAGGTCGGGTCCGTGTCGGCCCAGCGGGTCGTCCGGCGGCATGAACCTGGCGGGAGGAAGCGAGCCGTCAGTGAAACCCGGTCTGGCGGTGGGACGCGGAGGGGGCGGAGCTTCCCTGTCGCTCACCTGTCGTTGACGAAGGAGTACATGAGCAGCCGCTGCTCGATGAAGCGGCGCCACTCGGGCTTGTCGCCCTGCAGGTCGCGGTAAAGGTCGTTGGACACGATGACGCCGTCCGACTCGAAGGCGTGCTTCACGATGAAGCAGTCGTCGTTACAGACGACGCGTTTCCCTGCGACGCGGCGGGACGGCGTGAACACCAGGATCTTCTTCCTCTCCAGCTCCCGCAGGATGTGCTGATCTGCTCAGAGGGCAGAACGTTCGCGCTGTTAGCTTCCTGCACCGCCGCCAGGGGGCGCCGTTGTAACGGCAACATGCTTTCATGTGGAGGAAATGGTGGAAATAGAAGTTAAAACATGTCAGTCAGTTTCTTTTAACAGCAACTGAAAATGAAAACAAAAGTCTAAATAAAATACATGTTTTCACAATAAATCAATCGATGCGATAAATGATCAATTCTGGTTGGAACCGTGGAAATCTGTCACAATAAGTAACATAATCAATTAAATCACAATTTTAAAAAATGTAATCTATAATTTCCATTTTCATAAAAAAAAGTTTGCCTGCAGCCTTTCTCCACTGGAGGCGGCCATGTTGGATTTTTGAGTCAACAGTCGGTCAGGATCAGCTGCTTCTTCATGTGACCTGCACCAGTTTTTTCTGACCCTGACCTTTGACCTCTGGGTCCATAGCTGCGTTCAGGTGAAGTTATAAACTCACAGGCGTTTATAAATCTCCAGGGAAACAGTTTGGATCAGAAAGCGTCCGTAACGAAAGGAAAGAATTTCAGTTTCAAGGTCATTTCATCTCGTTTGAGTCCTAAACTACGACTCCAGTCTCTGGTTCTGACTCCGTGCCAGGTTCTGGAAACTTGCTGCTGTTTCTTGTAGAATTGGGTTTTTCTCTGCAGTCTGATGTGACCTGGTTAGTTAGACTCACATCCTGCAGTTTATCTGCATGAACAATCTGCTCATTTTCATGATGCAAACAGCAGCGTTTTCCTCCAGATGAAGCTGCGGCACGCGCTCGTCTTTTTGGTGTCAACCAGCGGAAAAAACAACATTTTATTGTCATGATTTCAGAAGAAGAAGAGCAGATAAAGCTGTTCACTCTGGAAACATGACGGAGAAGTGACCCGAGGGTTTTTCCCATCAGAGCGTCACCGTTAACCACGTCCTGCTGCAGAACCAAGCGACGCTCAGCACCGAGCTTCACCCCGCCACAAACCCACTGCTTCATTCTGCCAGGATGAAGACTGGGACAGTTTGACGTTTGGTGAAGTTAAGACGTCAACGGCGTTCCATGACAACCAGAGTCTCTGAGGATCCAGTCTGAGACCAAATATGAGAAAATAATCATGAACTGATGACAGATGGATCGGTTCTTCTGCAGAGCAGGAACCTGGAGGACCATCAAGAGGCTAATGTTAGCTTAGCTGCGAGTTATTCTGATTTAAAGGTTTTATAAATGGTTTCTATCTGTGATTTTTTTTTACATTTCTGGTGTTTTCTTGTTGAAAACATAAAAAGTCCTGATTGGTTTTGGCCACAGCTAGCTAAAATGCTAGCTGTCAACATTAGTTCTGCTAATGCTAAAAGCTAACCAATGTGGTGTTTAGCAGAAGTTTAGCTTTCCCTACATTATTCTTTCCAGATTAATTCTAAACTGCTCATTTAATGTGGATGTTTTATAAACTTAATACATTTGAAACTGTTTCTTGTTGAACTATAGCAATGCATTCTGGGTAGAGAATAATCGTCATTTCCTGCATCACGAGTGGAGAAGTGAGCAGTCTCTCAAAATAATTCATGTGTGTAAATATTTTTATGTGTTTGTTTCTTCTGTCGTTTGTTGTGTCATATTCTGGATACATAATTTGTTTGTTGTACATAGAGGAAGCAGAACCGCCTCTTAAACAGACTTCAAAATAAGAGCATTAAAACAAAAGTCTAACTAGTTGGAGTCAAACATCAAAGCACATCTGTTGAACTTTGTTCAACTGACAGTTTATGAAACAGCCAAGAAAATACTTCAGAATTCATCTGAAAAAATTAATTTACGGGTCGTTTGGTGTGTCAAACATTAGCAAAGTTAGCAGACATGCTAAGCTAATGATTAGCTCACTGACTAGTGGATTAGCAGAGTGGAGGAAGTTCATCAGTTCTGCTTCTGGACACAGAAGTTTTCATTTTCAAACTGGTTCTGATCCAGACGCTCCGCCCCGTGTTTTGCAGCAGTCGTTCTGTGTTGGAAGCTGTTCGCTGAGGAGAGCAGGTTCCACCGGCTGCGGGGCCCCCAGGCGCACCGGGCCCCCAGGCGCACCGGGCCCCCAGGCGCACCGGGCCCCCAGGCGCACCGGGCCCCCAGGCGCACCGGGCCCCCAGGCACACCGGGCCCCTGCAGCACCGGGTGCTGAGCCACACCTGGAGCCCTCCTACCTGTGATGGGGACGTCCGGTCTGGGCTGCTCCTTCCTCCAGGACGGGACGAACACGGTGACGTCACTGTGGCCGCGGTCCAGGAAGAAGTTGACGGCCAATTGGATCCCCAGGCAGGAGAAAACCTCCTTGTTACCATGGCTACAGGAAAACACAAAAACCAGGAAAAGAATTGGTTGAGAACAAAGAGCCCGGAGTTTGACCCGCATGTTGGTTCTGGGGCTGCACATGCTGGACCCGGATCCTACGAGCCTGGACCAGAACATCCTGGACCAGAACATGCTGGACCAGAACATCCTGGACCAAAACATCCTGGACCAGAACATCCTGGACCAAAACATCCTGGACCAGAACATCCTGGACCAGAACATCCTGGACCAAACATCCTGGACCAGAACATCCTGGACCAGAACATCCTGGACCAGAACATCCTGGACCAGAACATCCTGGACCAGAACATGCTGGACCAGAACATCCTGGACCAGAACCTGCTGGACCAGAACCTGCTGGACCAGAACATCCTGGACCAGAACCTGCTGGACCAGAACCTGCTGGACCAGAACATCCTGGACCAGAACATCCTGGACCAGAACATCCTGGACCAGAACATCCTGGACCAGAAGATCCTGGACCAGAACATCCTGGACCAGAACATCCTGGACCAGAACATGCTGGACCAGAACATCCTGGACCAGAACCTGCTGGACCAGAACCTGCTGGACCAGAACATCCTGGACCAGAACATCCTGGACCAGAACATCCTGGACCAGAACATGCTGGACCAGAACATCCTGGACCAGAACATGCTGGACCAGAACATGCTGGACCAGAACATCCTGGACCAGAACATGCTGGACCAGAACCTGCTGGACCAGAACCTGCTGGACCAGAACATCCTGGACCAGAACATCCTGGACCAGAACATCCTGGACCAGAACCTGCTGGACCAGAACCTGCTGGACCAGAACATCCTGGACCAGAACATCCTGGACCAGAACATGCTGGACCAGAACATCCTGGACCAGAACATGCTGGACCAGAACATGCTGGACCAGAAGATCCTGGACCAGAACCTGCTGGACCAGAACATCCTGGACCAGAACATCCTGGACCAGAACATCCTGGACCAGAACATGCTGGACCAGAACATCCTGGACCAGAACATGCTGGACCAGAACATGCTGGACCAGAACATCCTGGACCAGAACATGCTGGACCAGAACATCCTGGACCAGAACCTGCTGGACCAGAACATCCTGGACCAGAACATCCTGGACCAGAACCTGCTGGACCAGAACATCCTGGACCAGAACATGCTGGACCAGAACATCCTGGACCAGAAGATCCTGGACCAGAAGATCCTGGACCAGAACCTGCTGGACCAGAACATCCTGGACCAGAACATCCTGGACCAGAACCTGCTGGACCAGAACATCCTGGACCAGAACATGCTGGACCAGAACCTGCTGGACCAGAACATCCTGGACCAGAACATCCTGGACCAGAACCTGCTGGACCAGAACATCCTGGACCAGAAGATCCTGGACCAGAACATGCTGGACCAGAACATGCTGGACCAGAACCTGCTGGACCAGAACATCCTGGACCAGAAGATCCTGGACCAGAACATGCTGGACCAGAACATCCTGGACCAGAACCTGCTGGACCAGAACATCCTGGACCAGAACATCCTGGACCAGAAGATCCTGGACCAGAACCTGCTGGACCAGAACATCCTGGACCAGAACATGCTGGACCAGAACCTGCTGGACCAGAACATCCTGGACCAGAACATCCTGGACCAGAACCTGCTGGACCAGAACATGCTGGACCAGAACCTGCTGGACCAGAACATCCTGGACCAGAACATCCTGGACCAGAACATCCTGGACCAGAACCTGCTGGACCAGAACATCCTGGACCAGAACATCCTGGACAGAACCTGCTGGACCAGAACCTGCTGGACCAGAACATCCTGGACCAGAACATCCTGGACCAGAACATCCTGGACCAGAACATGCTGGACCAGAACATCCTGGACCAGAACCTGCTGGACCAGAACATCCTGGACCAGAACATCCTGGACCAGAACATCCTGGACCAGAACATCCTGGACCAGAACATCCTGGACCAGAACATGCTGGACCAGAACATCCTGGACCAGAACATGCTGGACCAGAACATGCTGGACCAGAACATCCTGGACCAGAACATGCTGGACCAGAACATCCTGGACCAGAACATCCTGGACCAGAACATCCTGGACCAGAACCTGCTGGACCAGAACCTGCTGGACCAGAACATCCTGGACCAGAACATCCTGGACCAGAACATCCTGGACCAGAACATGCTGGACCAGAACATGCTGGACCAGAACATGCTGGACCAGAACATCCTGGACCAGAACCTGCTGGACCAGAACATCCTGGACCAGAACATGCTGGACCAGAACATCCTGGACCAGAACATGCTGGACCAGAACATCCTGGACCAGAACATGCTGGACCAGAACATGCTGGACCAGAACATCCTGGACCAGAACATGCTGGACCAGAACATCCTGGACCAGAACATCCTGGACCAGAACATCCTGGACCAGAAAATCCTGGACCAGAACATGCTGGACCAGAACATGCTGGACCAGAACATGCTGGACCAGAACATCCTGGACCAGAACCTGCTGGACCAGAACATCCTGGACCAGAACATCCTGGACCAGAACCTGCTGGACCAGAACATCCTGGACCAGAACATGCTGGACCAGAACATCCTGGACCAGAACATCCTGGACCAGAACATCCTGGACCAGAACATGCTGGACCAGAACATGCTGGACCAGAACATGCTGGACCAGAACATCCTGGACCAGAACCTGCTGGACCAGAACATCCTGGACCAGAACATCCTGGACCAGAACCTGCTGGACCAGAACATCCTGGACCAGAACATGCTGGACCAGAACATCCTGGACCAGAACATCCTGGACCAGAACATGCTGGACCAGAACATGCTGGACCAGAACATCCTGGACCAGAACATCCTGGACCAGAACATCCTGGACCAGAACATCCTGGACCAGAACCTGCTGGACCAGAACATCCTGGACCAGAACATGCTGGACCAGAACATCCTGGACCAGAAGATCCTGGACCAGAAGATCCTGGACCAGAACCTGCTGGACCAGAACATCCTGGACCAGAACATCCTGGACCAGAACCTGCTGGACCAGAACATCCTGGACCAGAACATGCTGGACCAGAACATCCTGGACCAGAACATCCTGGACCAGAACCTGCTGGACCAGAACATCCTGGACCAGAAGATCCTGGACCAGAACATGCTGGACCAGAACATCCTGGACCAGAACCTGCTGGACCAGAACATCCTGGACCAGAACCTGCTGGACCAGAACATCCTGGACCAGAACATCCTGGACCAGAACCTGCTGGACCAGAACCTGCTGGACCAGAACCTGCTGGACCAGAACATCCTGGACCAGAAGATCCTGGACCAGAACATGCTGGACCAGAACATCCTGGACCAGAACCTGCTGGACCAGAACATCCTGGACCAGAACATCCTGGACCAGAAGATCCTGGACCAGAACCTGCTGGACCAGAACATCCTGGACCAGAACATGCTGGACCAGAACCTGCTGGACCAGAACATCCTGGACCAGAACATCCTGGACCAGAACCTGCTGGACCAGAACATGCTGGACCAGAACCTGCTGGACCAGAACATCCTGGACCAGAACATCCTGGACCAGAACATCCTGGACCAGAACCTGCTGGACCAGAACATCCTGGACCAGAACATCCTGGACCAGAACATCCTGGACCAGAACCTGCTGGACCAGAACATCCTGGACCAGAACCTGCTGGACCAGAACCTGCTGGACCAGAACATGCTGGACCAGAACCTGCTGGACCAGAACATGCTGGACCAGAACATGCTGGACCAGAACCTGCTGGACCAGAACATCCTGGACCAGAACATCCTGGACCAGAACATCCTGGACCAGAACCTGCTGGACCAGAACCTGCTGGACCAGAACCTGCTGGACCAGAACATCCTGGACCAGAAGATCCTGGACCAGAACCTGCTGGACCAGAACATCCTGGACCAGAACCTGCTGGACCAGAACATGCTGGACCAGAACATCCTGGACCAGAACATCCTGGACCAGAACCTGCTGGACCAGAACATCCTGGACCAGAACCTGCTGGACCAGAACATCCTGGACCAGAACCTGCTGGACCAGAACATGCTGGACCAGAACATCCTGGACCAGAACATCCTGGACCAGAACCTGCTGGACCAGAACATCCTGGACCAGAACATCCTGGACCAGAACATGCTGGACCAGAACATCCTGGACCAGAACATCCTGGACCAGAACCTGCTGGACCAGAACTTGCTGGACCCGGACTCGGCCCGATTTGAACGTCACCCAATGAACTAAATCAGAAATAATCAAACACATCCATAACTGATTTATGGATGTAATTCAATTTAACTTCCTCTTCATGTTGCAATGTTTAGTATTTAAACTGCGCCATAGTTGGAGTTGAATCTGATTGGTCGAGCTCCACCTGCAGCAGTTAGCCCCGCCCCTAAATGACAACATTTATCTTAATTAATTAACTATATGTTTATTGTTCTTTTGAATGATTTTACATTAAAGTAAATATTTTATCAGATTTTCATATTTTGAATCTTGACAGTAGAAACAGGCGGGGCTTATAGTTAGATGTGATTGGACTAGACCACAGGTGTCAAACTCCAGTCCTTAGCGCCGCTGGCCGTCCTGCAGGTTTTAGATGAGCCGCAGGAACAAAACCCTGGAATGAAACGGCTTCATGGCCTCCTGGTGTGGATCGGTTCTCCAGAACCTTAATGACTCTTTATTCTGTCCAGGTGCTGCAGAGGCTCAGCTAAAGGCTGCAGGACAGACAGCCGACCTCCAGGACCGGAGTTTGACCCCCTGGACTGGACTCTTCTCATGGTGATGGTTAGCTAATCAAAGTTGTCATTTGATTAGCTAACCGATGACTTTAAGACAGAAGTTCTTAAAGTCATGCGAACAGGATAGAGGTTCTGGTCCTGGTTCTGGTCCATTAAGCTCCACAGCATGTCTGACGAGCTTTAACTAGGCCATAATGTGTAATGACTGATCAGCGAATCGTCCTGCTGAGGTTTAGATCTGAACTGATAAAAATACTGATTTATTACCTGATTATTGATCAGCAGCCACTGCAGCTCTCCAGACTGTGTGTGTGTGTGTGTGTGTGTGTGTGTGGGTGTGTGTGTGTGTGTGTGTTAAGGCTGAAATGATTAATCAATGACTAATTAAATGATCAATCGGTTAATCAGTGTTTTCAAGCCGATTACTGAAACAAACCAAAACATTGAGATTTTTTCACCTTAAATCTGTTTTTTAGTTTTAGTTTCATCTCCTATTAACTGTCTGCATCCAGTTATTAATCGTTAATCAATAATTTGATCCTACTCTGTATTGATCAGCTGAGGTTTTCTCATGCTAGATTTTTTCATCCTTTCATCATAGAAATGTTCAAACGTTCACCAACTGAACGCTATTATTGCCTTTTAAAATGTTCATTTTCTTACAAATAAAAAGCTAATTGTGATATTTATTTTCATTCCCAAACATTTCTAATATTTTATGGAATATGCTTTATAAAAGCATATTTTAAATTAAACATATGCTGAATTTGTCCTTTTTTGTTCTGATTATCAGAATAATTGATTACTACAATAAGTGGACTTGGTGAGGAGGAAGCAATGAACTGGACCGACGGACCGGATTCTCTGCTGCTGAATCCGTCTAAAACAAAAACTACAATAACTGAGTGAAAAGAATGAAACCCAGAGGTGAGTGAACGCCAGAGGAAACTATCAGGTTCATCCAAAACAAACAGCTTTCATGTTCAGATTTATGCAAAGCAGAGCTAAATGTTCCCAGCCCTCAAAGGTCAGCGCCGTTTGTGACCAGCAGAAATTCAGCTGGTGAAAAAGAGTCCAGAGGTTTTTATGAAGCCCGACGTCCAGGATCCGTTCAGCCTGAAGCTTCAGAAACCAACCGGACCGAGTCATGGATCACCGCAGAGAAAAAGCAGAAAACTGAAGCAAAGCCTTGTGGATGAATGTTGGGCACTATTAGAGCTCCGTACTCTGGAGGGATTTTAGAAAACACCAAACATTTTCAATAAAAGCAGATAAAGTCAGACTGGACAAGCTGCTGCTCTGGGTTATTAATATTCATAACTAACATTGTTCAGGAAAAACCTGCAGAATTCGGACAGGAACAGAACCAGAACCGCTCCAATAACAAGCGGCTTTGGATAAAAGCAGGACTCTTTCTGCTTTTATCATTGATAAATGGGACTTTTGGCCCTGATCAATAATAATAATCACTGTTTTCAGTCCATGCTGAGCAGGTCCAGTTTACATGATCAGAGTAAAGAATAAGGTTGTGGAGACTCAGCCCTGAGGAACCCCAGCCTGGATCAGGACCTGTTCCAGTGTCTGTAACGCTGTGTGAGATCTGCTTGTTATTCTGGTGATCAGACTTTGGATGGTCTGATGTTTGAAGCAGCAGATCGTCCAGCGGTTCGTCTCGTTCCTCCCTCAGGCTTCAGGCTGATCGCTTCTCAACCCGCTGACAGGAACAGAATCGTCTCTTCCTGTCAGCCGGTCGCTGGGAAACGTCCCGATCGGCGGGCGTTCGGTCGAGCCTTCTGAGGAGCCGCCGGGCCGGTTCCTACCGCCAGGCCGGTTCCTACCGCCGGGCCGGTTCCTACCGCCGGGCCGGTTCCTACCGCCGGGCCGGTTCCTGCCGCGCTCCAAACACACACATCTGATTTGCATAAAGCAGAAGAAGCCGCGGCGTGTCAGAGCCTGCATGGAGAGGCGGAGCTTCACAGCGCCGAGGCTGAGCAGAGTTCAGGTTACCGTCTCTTTAAGAAGCCCAGCTGGCGCTTTTACAACCAATCAGATTCAGATATTCGTATCCCAAATGGATGTTACAGCAAGAACTAGAAGACAAAGTATCAAAGGTTAAGAATAAAAAACCAAACGGTCATGAAATAGCAACCAATACATAATGCATCCATCAATGCCACAAACAGCAGAACTTGGATCAGAACCAGTTGCTTTTACACCAGGAAGGCAGAAACAGGAGCGAAGAATCAGCAACAATAATGATTTGTTTATTGATCAGTTCTGTGATTAGCTTTGATCGACTAACATCTTATTGCTGTATGAATTATTCTGCTACCGGAGATTTCCGATCTATAACCTTTGACCTCCAGGCGGCAGCTGATTGGCTCTTTGACTCGTCAGGAAACCTCCGGAACAACCCGGGTCCAAACCAGTCGGGCTGCAGAACCTGGTTCTGGTTCAGAGTCTGCAGTGAAACTTCACACGGTTCTGTTTACCCGATCCCACCAACTGACCCAGTTTCTCTCTGTGCTGCTGCAGAGTTCAGGAGATCCAGAACCTCACCAGAACCTCACCAGAACCTCACCAGAACCTCATCAGAACCTCCTGAAGTTCAGGAGGGAATCGCTCTACCTCTGGTTTTCCAGCCTACATGAGGAAAGTCAGCAGCTGCTTCTGCCCAGAAAGTTTGGAAATTGGAATCATGAAAATAAATTTGCTGAACGAAACACAAATTTTAAAAAATAAATTAAGATTTCAGTGAAACGTTTGGCTGAGGTTGTTTTCTCCAGCCGGTTTGAATCTGATCGGGTCGGAACCACTGGGCCCGATTAGATTGGAATAGATTCAGGTCTTAGAACGGCCTAGTCAAAGTCAAGAACTGAAACCTGCAGCCACAGAGAGGCAGCTGCAGGCCACACTTTTCAGATTCCCACTAGTGAGTTTGGAGCTGCAGGTGTGAAAACTTTTACGGGTTCTGGAAGTTTCCTCCAGAACCCTTTGACTTATCAATAAAAACAGCCAGAACCAGAACTGGACCGGAACCGGGTCAGAACCAGAACTCTTTGGTTCTGTGTAACATCTGGGTCCAATAATCAAAGGATTAAAGATTTAAGGAGGAAAATGAAACATGAGATGAATGAATGAATGAAATTCATTCATTCATTCGGTACTGATGAACTACAGAATGAAGTCCCTGACCTCTGACCTCCAGGTTCTCACCTCATGGCGACATTGCTGCCGTCGATCACCACGGCCCTCAGGGCGTCTCCGTCCTCCTGGTCCCGGTTCTGGTCCCGGTTCTGGTTCCGGGTGGGCGGGTCGGGGACGGGGATCAGCAGCTCGGGCCCCGGGGCCTCGGGGTCGCCTCGCGGCACCAGGCCCGACACGGCGGTCCGCGGGCCGGCTCCGACCAGGACCAGCTGTCCCAGAACCTTGTCGGTGTCGGCGCCGAACTTCCTCTGGACCGCCCGGACCTGAGCCGTGGAGAAACCCAGCTTGTGGAAGAAGTCCAGCTGGGGGTCAGAGGCCATCGTCCCCTCGTCCGGCTGCGTGGCGGCGGTTCTGCTCCACGGCTCGGCAGCTGGAAATGGACCCGCTTCGGCTTTCATATCAGAACCGTCATGACCGACCTGCTGGAAAACAGCTGGTCAGGGTCGGAGGTCAGGGGTCAATCTGCAGGAAGAGAAACGCTTCATATTTAGTTATTACTAATTATAATCTGAGATTATAATCTGATGAGCGAACACTGAAGAATAAACTAATTATCAATATTAATCATGACTTCATTATAATTCATCAGTTTTAATATTGTAATTTCACACGTTTAGAAAAAAGAAAAACTTTCATGATTTAACGTCATCGATCTGTCAATACTTTCAGATTTATTATCAATATTCCTGATCATTTGTGACTCGGAGGAGGTTCCGGACCTAAAAGTCTCTCAAGCTGCTAGCAGTAAAGGTTCCGGTCCAGTTACGGACGAAAAGCGGATAGAAAGTCTCGGTACCGAACCGAACCGGGTCGAACCCGCCGCCTGCAGCTCACCTGTTCCCCAGTTGTGTCTGTCCCTCCAGGTCCGCGTCTCGGTCGAATCTGGCAGGAACGCGGAAGGAGAGCCGCTCTTCTTCTGCTGCTCAGCAACATGCGGGGTCACGTGACGCAGGGGCGGAGCCACAAGAAGCTCCGCGGGACGTCCGGCCCCCCTCCCTGCCCTCCCTGCCCGGGGCCCCCCTCCCGGCCCGGGGCCCCTCCCTGCCCGGGGCCCCTCCCTGCCCGGGGCCCCTCCCTGCCCGGGGCCCCCCTCCCGGCCCGGGGCCCCCTCCCGGCCCGGGGCCCCCTCCCGGCCCGGGGCCCCCCTCCCGGCCCGGGGCCCCTCCATGAAAGAAACAGTTTAGAGCCACAAAAACTACCAGAAACATTGAAGGTTCTGTTCCCCAGAGCGTTAAACACACTGACATGTTCAGATCAACACATTAATAATAATCATAATAATAATAGAGGCGTTCTGCACCAGATTACACTCTAATCCCATTTGTATCTGAATTCTCTTCATAATGTTTGATTTTCTGTCATTTCTATAGTTTCATTATTGGTAACCATGACGACAGTTGATTCATCTGATTGAATCTTTGCTGAAAATCTTCAGAGAAACAAAATCAATGAGTTTTTCTCTGGATCTTCCTGTTTGCAGTTTATTGGGATTCACTGAGCTGGAGGAGAAAATTCATCAGATCAATCAGATCAATGTGTTTCAATAAGAACCGATCGGAGCCAATCAGATCGTCTGGTTCCAGAATCGTATCGGTTCCAGCAAACAGGTTGCACAACTCGCATTCAGCCTGCAGCACAATTTCACTGCAATATGCAAATTGAGCAGCAGCTCCAGCAGCAGCAGCTGCAGCAGCAGCTGCAGCAGCAGTACCAGCAGCAGTACCAGCAGCAGCAGCAGCAGCTGCAGCAGCAGTACCAGCAGCAGCAGCAGCAGCAGCAGCTGCAGCAGCAGCAGCAGCAGCAGCAGCAGCAGCAGCAGCAGCTGCAGCAGAACCCGACTGATCAGAAGAGACTGAAACACCTGAACTGAATCCTCAGCTTCACCTGCGAGCCTCAGAAAACAGCATTTATGTTTCAGCAGATTTAAAATGAAAGAATATTATTTAGCATAACTGTACAGCTGTGGTTTCTGATGAATCAGCTGGAAACCGAATTAAAATTTAAAACTGCTGATCAAACATGGAGGACAAAGATCCAGGCAGGCAGTTTATGTCGCATGGAAAACTCTGATTTATGGGATCAGTTTCGGATCCATAGTCATAAAAATAAATCTTCTCTATGATCCCAGTCAAACCACCATGAAGCTTCTGCTGCAGACCTGAACCTCCGTTAGAGCCCTGACCCTCTGGATCACATCTGGGTCCGCTTTCTAGAACCTTCTGGAGGTGCACCTGCCTATATTCCTTAACTGCTGTAAAATAGTTGTTTACAATAAAAAGCAGGAATCTATGGAGGACTGATACTGCCAGAATTGATAATAAGTAAATAAGTAAGCAGACAGATAAATATTGTTTTTTTTTTTTTTTTTGTCAAAGCAGACTTGTGAGGTGTGTTCTTGTATTCTCTCTATGCTTCTTTCTGGCCTGTTCTCCTATATTTTTCTTTTCTATTTAAACTTCCCCCCCCCTTTTTTTTTATTTATTTACGTGTAATTACTTATGAAATAAACCCAAGGCAATTTCTAATAAAGAAAAAAAACTGTGATTAAATAATTAAGAAAACAAGGAAATAAAAATAGCAATGAATGAATTTGGAAATAAATTTAAAAATCATTAAAAATTAAAAATGTCATCAAATCACCAAATAAATAAATCAAAAAGTAAAACTGTAAATCAATAATGAACAAAAATAGGGAGTATAATTGAAAAGCAGATAATTCATTTGGTAATAAATATATTGTAATTATTTTTTCCTCACTTTTTTAAACATTAGTAATTATGGCAGGCCCAGTTCTCCACAGCTGAAAAAAGAGTGCTGGAACTACAGTACCCAGAAGTCAGCGGGAAGCTGCGCAGCCTCAGTTGACCTCTGGTGTTGTTGTCTAACCGGGTCACAGTTTCTCTCCGTGTCGCTAAATAAAGTTCGGGATCCAGACCCAGCAGCGGAGCGTGGGCCTGCTGAGACCAGCTGGAACCGGTTCGTGTCCGCCCACGGTCCTCCTGGTCCGGTCCGGACCGTCTGCGAGGCGAGGCTGAGCTCGTCAGCGGGCTCGCAAACCCCGAGGCCGGCGCGGAGAGTGAGATGACCCGCTGCTGGCGCTGCAGGCCGGGCGCATCTGAGTGAGAGGCCGCCGGCGGAGCGCCGAGCCCCGCAGGCATGTGGCAGAGCCTCGGCCTCACCCTGCTGGTCATCGTGGCCACGCTGCTCTGCGTGCTGCTCTTCATGCTGTTCGGTGAGCCCTCTGTCAGAACCGGCCGGAACCGAGCCCGAACCCCGCAGAAATATCGGATCGGAGGCTGGCCATCATGGCTGCTGGTTACGGTTCTGGTTCTGGTCCTGGTCCTGGTCCTGGTTCTGGTCCTGGTCCTGGTCCTGGTCCTGGGTCTGGTTCTGGGTCTGGGCCTGGTTCTGGTTCTGGTCCTGGTCCTGGTTCTGGTTCTGGTTCTGGGTCTGGGTCTGGTCCTGGTCCTGGGTCTGGTTCTGGGTCTGGGTCTGGTCCTGGTCCTGGGTCTGGTTCTGGTTCTGGTCCTGGTCCTAGGTCTGGTTCTGGTTCTGGGTCTGGGCCTGGTTCTGGTCCTGGTCCTGGGTCTGGTTCTGGTCCTGGTTCTGGTTCTGTTTGGTTAAAAGTTTCTAACTGATTTGGTTTCATCAAGTTGTTGCTGTGTGGCGACAGTAGAGAGAAACAAAGCAGGACCAGAACCGGTACCAGAACCAGCACCTGAACCGAGACCAGAACCGGGACCAGAACCAGCACCTGAACCGAGACCAGAACCGGGACCAGAACCAGCACCTGAACCGAGACCAGAACCGGGACCAGAACCAGCACCTGGTCCAACCCTGATTTTAGTCAATGTTCAGAATATTTTATGACTTCAAAAGGTGATGAACAGGAACGGTTCCGAGCCAGATTTGTCCCGTACCGGGCATCAGATTGGGTGAAGGTTCTGGTTCTGGATGGATCGGGTCTGCAGTCACGGTTCTCTCTTCCTCCTCAGGTTGGTACGTCGTCTGGCAGCTCTTCCTGTCCAAGTTCAAGTTCCTGCGGGAACTGGTCGGCGACGCCGGAACGCCTCAGGCCGAGACCCGGCCATCAGAACCCGAACACCCGGCCGGCGCCCCGACCAGAACCAGGAACCGGACCGCACGCCAAAGACTCTCCTTCCCGGAGAGCAACTCGTAGCGGGTCGTCGCTCCTCACTGGACGGTTTACAGGAACCAGCCGGTCCAAGGGAAGTCCTGTGAGGACGGTCCAGTCCGGTCCGGTCCGGTCCGGTCCGGTCCGGCTGCTTCCTGCCGCCTGCAGCTAGGGGGCGGGGCTTCTTGGCGTAGATGACCTCCATGACCTCAAACTGCTAATCAGTGAACCGACGACCTGGACGTGTGACATCATGCTGTCAGAAACCGTCTTCAGGAAGTCACATGGTCTCTTGTGTCCAATCAGCTGCTGCCAGCTGACCTCATCAGTATTTCAGCACTTCCTGTGGCTTTTAATCAGCTGGGGAGGGCCGGGGGGTCTTTATTAAGATGAAAATCCTTTAGCTAAATAAATTAATGCCAAACAGGAAATGAAGCGAGTCTTTTGTGGCGATGTTAACACGCCCCCCAGTGGTTAGTAGCAGCATTACATAAAAAACAGATACAGGTTCTGGATTTAAAACATTTATCCAAGTTTATTAGCTGCTGCACAGCATCTTTATTCAATGAAAATGTTCTGACTGGTTATGGAAAATACATCAAAGAAATGCAGAGAAAACTAATGGCAAATTATTAAACCCCAGAATCAATAATTGATTTTAGATCCATTAAAATGTATATCGTTTTCACTGTTCCAGAAATGTAATTTGGAAAATAGAATTTAATGCAGCAACTACATACAACCTAACAAATTTTCTGTTCTGTAAATCATGCCTATAAAAATATTTAACCTCTGAGTTGATGTTTGTGTCTCTGCCTGCAGACAATAACAAATGAAAAGCATAAATGTTTTATAATATGTGACAATCCCTTTCATGCTGCCCATCACAACAGGAAAAAAGTTCAGATTCTTTATTTCAAACTTAAAAATATGAACAGACACCGAAATGTATAAACATACAACAACAAAAAGATGTTTCTCAACATAAAAATGCAACAAGTTTCATATAAACTTTATTTATACTGCATTTATCCAGATCGTTTGATCAGGTCTGACGTTTCAGCAGGAAATCAACCAGACTTGATCAGCCGCTGGCCAATCAGAAAGGAGCTCCTCCTGCAGAAACATTTACACCAATCAGCCTGCAGGTGGCGCCGCAGCAGAGGACAGAACCACAGCAGCTGCATGGAGGAAGAAGAGCTTGACCAGTTCATCATCTTCATCCTCAGGCCTGGAACAAAATTCAAGAAATTAGCCTTTAATTTAAGAATACTGCATCCTCTAAAGAAGTCTGGAATTCTTGAAAATTTAACCTCAATTCTTTTTCAGACTACAGGACCACAAACACAACATCCTGACCTTAAACTGTAAGAATCTCATCTTTAAATCCTGCTGCCCCCATGTGGACACACAGCATTACTCCAGTTTTCCGTTTCTGAACTGATCTGACTGAAATGAGGCCGACCACACACACACACACACACACACACACACACACACACACACACACACACACACACACACACACACACACACACACACACTTCAGGAGTAAGCCAGTGTTTGTTTTGGAGGTTTACCTAAAGCCTGCAGGTGGCGCTGCAGAGCTGCAAACTGGCTCCAGTAGCAGAGTCAAGAAATGCAGGAAATGCACCAATCGCAGCGGCTGCATGGAGGAAGGACAGCCTGACGAGTTCAGCCGACTCCAACGCAGGCCAACGGAATCACCTGGATTAAATGGATTACATTTCAGTTCAGGAAAATTAAGTAGTGGAAAAAAAATTCATAGAAATATAAATAATGAAAAACTACTTTTCAGCCAATCCTGTTTTCTCTCAGTGTTTTATTTATCAGATTTAATTACACAGAAAGGAGGAAATGATTATTCTGCTGGACCTTCATCTCAGATTTCTGTATTTTTCAGCCCATACAGACAATAAATCAGCTTTATAAAAGCTCTGACTGGTTAAACAACTTTTCTCACACCTGAAATATAAAAACCTAAACAATCAGACTCGAGTTATGTTAGGAACACAACCCTAACAGCTGCAGCTTAACAGGAAAACCTCACACTTCAGAAGTGGTGAAATGTCGCCCCCTGCTGGTCATCAGCAGAACTACAGGACGGTTCTGAATCTGGGCCCAGAAAGGAGAAAGACCCGCGCACCATGTGGTTCTGAGCGCCGACAGCAGAACTTATGAACAGTTCATGATAAGAATAAATGATTCCTGTTGGAGGCTTACCTAAAACCCTGCCGGGAAAAGCCGCAGCGGGCCTCAAACTGCCTCACTTCTCTTTAGCAAACCGTGTAGGAAAGGACAGAACCACGGCAGGCTCAGCCTCGCTGGAAACGGCTGCAGCAGGAAACATCACCAAATGGCGTTTAAAACCACCCGTTTACCGGCGCCATCTTCACAGGAGACGAGCAGCAGCACGCTGCTGATCATCCGTTAGAAACTCCGGATTTAAAATAACATCCTGAACAAAACTGGTCAGGAGCAAAACTTACCTTCCTGCAAACAAACCGGGTGGTTACTAAGTTCAGACTTAGCGCCGCAGAAGGAGGATGACGGCGGATTAACGTCCCACACGCCGCCATGTCTGACCGGTAAATGCAACTGAACGGCAGAGAAGGAAGGGGCGGGACGGACCGCTGTCCTTATATGGAAACAGGATCACTGCACTCCGGAAGTGAAGGGGGCGCTATGTCCTATAGTATACGGGGTCTCCCGTTTGTATTATCTTTTGAAATCTGATATATTTTCATCTTTCGGAAGGTTTTCACTCTCAGCAGGTATTTAAAATTCTCTCTTTGATTCACCGCAGCTCAGTTTTCACAGCAGCTTTTCTAAATCTGCTGTGAACCTAAGTCACTTGTTTGTCATTGACTTTTGCTCAATTAAATTTCTTATGTATACATTGCAAATTGTACTTTTATTATAGTTGCTCATGTTGTTTTTTATGTCTCCTTGTTTCTTTTGTTCCTCCTATAATTGATGGAGATATATAGATATCATTTATAATGCATAAAAGTATTGTTGATGACATCTAATTAACTCTCGATTCTTAAGTAAATTAAAAAATGCGATGTTTTATAAGATGATTTATCTTTTACAGTCCCAGTAATACCAGAATGAATGATAAATAATAAAGACTTTGTGGTATTCTGATTTAGTAATATAATGACATCTTTTTCTTCTTGAAATTTATTGGCGGTTGGTAAGAAAGTATAGTAGTGTGGACCACATGACATAAAACAAAACAAAGGAAAAAACCCTTTGTCTTTTTACACAACTTACACTCTTTTAAAAAATCAAATATAGCTTGATATCTTCTGCTTCCTGAATCCTTTTGCAGTAAATCAACAATGTCAAATTTCATTTATTGCCAAGGTTCCTAATTAACTTGTTGGTCTGAATCCGGTCATTTCTACAATGCAAGATAACAAGTTCCACATTTCCCTATTTATGTTTCCCTATCAGAAATAATGAGCTACTCACTCATCTTATTCTAACATGTGAATAATTATCTCTTCTCTCCTGTTTCTTTCTGTTCTTCTCATTTGTCCAATTCTCTTTTGGATTTTATAAAACCACCATTTCCTTTCTTCTAGCCATAAGGTTTGCCACCTCTCTTTCAGTTTTGATAACCAAAATTCTAGAAAGTTTTTAATCCATTGAAACATACAACCATTTACACCTGTTCTTCTTATTTTGATTAATAACCCTTCCTTCCACATTATATCGTAAACTCTCAATATTAAAAAATACAACTTTCAGAATATTTTAAATCCATGAATCTACAGAAATTTCCGAATTTATATCCAAACTTTAAAGAGTATTTTTTTAAAAAAATTCTTATTAATCACAGGTTAAGTTACTGGGGTTATAAAGTTCAACAGTCTACCCACAGGGTTAATATTATTCACTGAGTTTATCAATAAAAGTGAAAACCTCCGGGAGCCACGTGCAGTTCAGACTCAGGCCACTAGATGGCAGCAGACCTCCACGAGATGCACCATTCCCTGGACCGGACCAGGCGCGTCTGTCTCCAGACTCGGACCTCCACCTGATTGGATAAAACCTGCAGCTCGGGGTGACGTCACGAGGCTTTGTGGGTCAGCTGAGCAGCGGAACCGGCAGGAAGGCGTGACTAATGGGCTCAACGTGAAAAACATGAAGTTCTTCTGGTTTTTCTGATGGAACAAACTCAGCATCAATATGTCTAATGATTTGTTCAGCAGTAGGAATGAAATGAAGCCCATGCTTTGACTGGGCCGCTGCGTCTCTTAAAGTCAGCTCCTATTGCGTAACTCTGGAGGTCCGGCTTGGATCCACCAAGTCACATTTAGATCTGCACAGAAACAAATGCTGCTCACATGACACTCGTGATACTCTGTGCTTGAAAGGAGCTGACAGTGCCTCAGGAAGAGGAAGCGTGACCTTTGACCTCATGTCTCTAACAGCTGGGAGTCAGTGGATGGATGGATGGATGGATGGATGGATGGATGGATGGATGGATGGATGGATGGATGGATGGATGGATGGATGGATGGATGGATGGATGGATGGATGGATGGATGGATGTTTATGGTCAGAATATTCCCCTGCAGAGGGAAGAGCTCAGGGCAGCCTGGACTGAACCGGGTCGGAACCGGGTCAGAACCCTCTGCAGACGAAATGCCTGGCGTTCGGCACGTGAATCTCTCTAAGACGTTTTCCAGAACACGATCTGCTGAGTCAGCGTCTTAGCCGCTCTGGCCTGATGCAGGATGTTCTCCCTCTCACTGTGACTCAGCACTCCTCTTCCTCCTCATCATCACCACCCTCCTCTTCCTCCTGATCTCCACAGCAGCAGAGGTGTGTGTGTTAGAGTGTGTTAGAGTGTGTGTGTGTGTGTGTGTGTGTGTGTGTGTGTGAGAGTGTGTATGCAAAAGGCTTCTCCACTGCACAGTAGCTTTCATTAGATCTACAGATACTAGAGACATCTTCATCTTCATCTTCATCTTGGTTGTGATGTGTTTTTCCATCTGGGGAATAAGCAGCATTTATGGCTCCATGCTGGGAACGTGGCAGTGGAAAAATCCACAGTGGGAATTTGTGGATCTCGATCAACTTGTTCCCCCAGGAGAAACACAAACATCTGATAAAGTTTTTATTTCTCAGGGGATTGAAACTGTTCGCTATCCAGAAAAAACTGAACAATATTCATCTAATGTCAAATATTCATGATGACCATGTAAAGGTCATTTTATTTCTAGAGCACGTTTTCAGCAACAAGACAATACAAAGTGCTTTAAAGGAATGAACTCAGCTCGGACACAAGTATCCGCTGGTCTGATTCCTTTTCTGGGTTGGAAGAACAGATTTTGGTTTTTGAATCCTTCAGGTATTTATCCTGAGGGATTCATTTATTTAGGCTCTTATTTTGAAGTCTGTTTATGCAGCAGCACTGTTTCCTCTCTTCACTTTCTTTTTTCCTAATTAGTTTATTTAAAACCTAAAACATGCAGGAAGAAATAAAACATGAAGTAAAAACATGTGAATCATCTGGTGTCAACATGGCTGAAGTTAGCACATTAGCATTAGCTTCTGCTAACCACTGTGTACTTGTAGCACTTTAGCTTAATTACTGTTTATAATTAGTGCTTCAGGGTTAGCGCAGCTAGCTTTTTAGCTAGTGGTTATACCTGGAGAAAGTTCTGCAGACTGATTGGTTCTGATGGACCAGGTAGTGTACTCAAAACCACAGGCAGGTTCTGATTGGTTCTGATCGGGTTAGCTGATTCTGGTTTG